GCTGCTCCCGGGGCCGGGCGGGGGCTGTGCTGCTGCGGGGCTGGCCGAGCCGCCCTGGTGTCTCTCGGGCTGGTTGTCCCCCAGGGCAGTCACCCGCTGGTGCCTCCCAGCAGCAGGCACAGGGATAGTTGTCTAGGAGCTCAGTGGTGTGTGGTCTAGGTAAGCTCTGAAGGTTTAGTAAGGTGTGGAGCACACGAGGGTTGTTGGGGATTGACTGCAGGAGAGGTCTGGCACAGGAGAAAAGCCCTGGGATGTGGGTCTGGGTTGGAAATGCAACGAGGCTTCAGGGTCTGTACAAAGTGTGTGAAGGTTTGAGGGATTTGGTGCTGAGGGAGCTTTGGTTCTGTGCTGTGGTTCTGCTTGATGCAGTGGATTAGCTGCAGTGTCTGAGGGGACATGTGAGAGAATGAGAGGGAGTTTGGACAAGGGCCTGGAGTGACAGGACAAGGGGGAATGGCTTCACACTGCCAGAGGGCAGGGATAGATGGGATATTGGGAAGGAATTCCTCACTGTGCAGGTGCTGAGGCTCTGGCACAGGTTGCCCAGAGACTGCCCCAACCAGGCCAGGTTGGATGGGGCTTGGAGCAGCCTGGGCTGGTGGAAGGTGTCCCTGCCCATGGCAGGGGGTAGAGGTGGATGATCTTTAAGGTCCTTCCAAGCCAAACGTTTCTGGGATCCTATAATACAGTTATTGTGCCTCTGTGCATAAGGTACTTCTAACCATTTCAAATGTATTCCTGTCTGTGCTGTCAGAAGTTTGTGAAGGTAGATAGAAAGTTCTCCAAGGTTCAAGTACTGTGTAATGCATGGTCAGCTCAGACCTGTGTAGCACCTGGATCAACAGGATCCTGTGTGGGTATATCCAGTGTGGATATAATCCACCTGTGTGGGTATATCCAGCACTGATTCAATGACCTCTTGTGGCTTTTACTTTGTTTTCTTCTGTTCCTGCATCTTAGCTTACTGCTAGGACCTCACAGCCAACAATGTCAGTGACATCATTGCATTTTTAGGTAAACAGCCTTGATCTGAAAATAATTTGCTGTAACATTTCTTCCTAAGTGTTGTGTTCTCTTCTCCAGTACGACCTGTCAGCTTCCACCTTTTCTCCAGATGGCAGAGTGTTTCAAGTGGAGTATGCTATGAAAGCAGTGGAGAATAGCAGGTAAGATACAAATATCTGAAACACATACCTGTTTGTTGGCCTCTTTTAAAGCTGTGTCATTGGACCAGGCAAACAGGTACAATTCTGTGTTAAAAAATTGCGGGTACAATGACAGTGTTAGAATCAGTGCTGAGCAACCGTGTCTATAGGTTTGTTTTACACATGAAGTGTAAAAGTTGTATAATCACTTTCTGCTTGCTAGAAATCACTTTTTGTACCTGTTAGGAATCACCTTGGTGTGCTGGAAACAGGTATGAGGTATAGTGCACAGGAAGGCTGTTCCCTGTGTGTGTTAGGGGCAAAACCTGCTTGCAGGTCTCATTGCTCTTTGTCAGGTGCTTGGCTGTGGTGGTGGAGCTGCTGCAGTGGATCCAAAATCCCATTTTATGGATGTGAATGGAGGCACTAAAGGACTGACACGCTCAGGGCTTTATAAACATGGAACAGCTTCACTGGGATTCCTCAGGAGATGGAGCACATCCAAGTTCTGCTAAAGCCACATCAGCTCCACAGGGAGTACCTGTCCTCCCTGAGTGTGTGAAGGAATGCTGTGGTGTGAAAATCCCAACTGTGCCTGAGGAGCAGTGGGATGAGTGATTGGCCAGGCTGGGACTGGGTCACCCAAGTGTCTGCTCATAGCCACAGGCTCCAGATAAGGATTAATGCGTGTTCTGTGGTAGTTTATGGCTGATAATGCACTTTTTGAGGGTTGAAGCAAGAGTTGTCACATCTAGATCCACAGTGGATTTACCCAGTCCGTGGATTTCACACTAGCATTGTTCAGCTGAGTGACAGGCAGTGGCTTGGCTGTCACTCCAGACAATGTCCCCACTGCATGTACTCAGTTAAAACTCTTTGGGTCAAGATTTTTGGCAGCCTCATCCTTCTTTAGCTGAGAAAATGTTTGTAGGTTTAGTGACCTTTGGCTTTTTTTCCCCCCTTGTTGTCTTCAATGCAAAAGTGAAGTTATAACAAATCAAGTTCTGGAGAAATTGTCATTGTTTCTCCTATCTTGTTAAGTCTCTGCTACATGTTTTACAGTGTGGTTCTCTGTGAGAAACTGACATTTATCTTGTCTTTCAGTACAGCAATTGGGATAAGATGCAAAGATGGAGTTGTCTTTGGAGTAGAAAAACTAGTTCTGTCCAAGCTCTACGAAGAAGGTTCCAATAAACGTCTCTTCAATGTCGATCGACACGTCGGGATGGTAAGGTGCTACCTCATTTCAGGCTTTATAGCTGCAAAGGGACATCCCTCAGGAGGAGGAGTTTATGAATTGGATCAGTAGTAAGTAGATTAAGAAAGTAATGATAATTTTCTGCCAGTGTTTTTTTTACTGTTCTCTGTAATTTATTCTCAGTGACACAAACCCACAGGTGAATAAAGTCCAGATTTAAAACAGAAGACTGACATATTTTGAGGCTGTTTTAAATTTTTAAAATGCTTTTCCAGTTGTGTTTATATTTACATTCAAGTTTCAAGGAGTGTTGAGGTGGTACTTTTTTACATAGTTATCAGATAAGGTGTGTGAAGGGAAAACATGTGGCATACAAGATTGTCTCCCCAGCAGAGTGGGAATCACAGGGATCCTTTAAACACTGGTGTATGGATAACTGCCTAAGCCATAGCAGGGATGTCAGGATGATGTCAAGTACCAGTTTTTGTGTGACAGAAATACCTGCAACCTGTTGAATATATGTATGAAATATTGTTTGGCTTAGTGTAGTTGTGGCAAATCCCAAGACATAATTTAAGATAGTTTAGTTACTGATTTTCCTAGTGAAAAAATCTATTCTGTGTTAATGGATAATCACATTGACATGTTTTGAACTTGGTAGCAAATAGTTACAGTTTGGACTCGATCTCAGAGGTCTTTTTCAGTCTTTGTGACTCTGTAAGTCACTTGTAGTATGTAGAATTCATCTGAAGTCACAGGATTAGCCTTCTGTCCCTGAGTTTCCTGGAGGCCCTGGCAGGAGTGTGTCCTGGCTGACCTGCTGTTGTTCCAGGCCGTGGCAGGGCTGCTGGCAGACGCTCGGTCCCTGGCAGACATCGCTAGAGAAGAGGCTTCCAACTTTAGATCTAACTATGGCTACGATATTCCTCTCAAGGTAAGGAACTGCTGCAGTTCTCAGCTGCTTTGGCTTTTCGGCTTCCCTTGAGAATTAAATGTTTTTCCCTGAGATTTCCTTATTGCTGCACAGACGTGTTTCCAACGGTCTCTCGTTTCTCCCTGCAGCATCTTGCAGACAGAGTGGCCATGTACGTGCACGCGTACACGCTGTACAGCGCTGTCAGGCCCTTTGGGTGCAGGTGAGTCACACATACACTAAGGATCTCTTGGTTCACAGCTGCTGGAACTGCTCAGGCTGTCCGAGGTGTTTTTTTAAACCTGGAATTAGTAACTCTCAATGAATCTCCAAGAGAGATTCCCTTCCCTCGTATTTGTGTGTGCGTAAAACTTCAAGTGAAGAGCTCAGGTTCCCTTAACAGTGTGTCAGGTTCTGCACAGATTGCCAGTTTGTCCCTAGTTTTTCAAGTTGAAGAGTTTGTGCTATTAAGTCTGTGACAGTGGCAAAAGCAAAACTTTCCTCTGCAATTATCCTGCTTGCCCTGATACCTCAAGGGCAGGTTACAGCTACTGTGTGGATCTAGTACAAAGGGACTGATAAACTGAGATGTGCTGTCAAGTTACTGATAAGTAAATTGGTTGTGACAACTTGCAGGTGCTTGGTTGTCACAAGAACACTCAGCTGTGGCTCAATAGACTGTAGCAGGACAGTAAGAGTTGCTGCAGGAAGAGTGCAGGAAACCTGAGCTCGTGTAGTCTCTGTAGTTTTGTGTGTGTTGGTAGAAGAAATGTTAATTTCTCTTTAAATTTCTCTTTCCCCTGCAGTTTCATGTTGGGGTCCTATGACAGTGATGATGGTGCACAGCTGTACATGATTGATCCATCAGGAGTTTCATACGTGAGTGTGTCAAACATATTTCCACCCTGGCATGAGTTTCCTTTGTAAGAGGTCCTGGTTAGGAAAACAGGAAGTGTTGGTCCAAAAGAGCTGTGGATTTTTGTACAATCTCTGGTGAATCATTGCTTCAGACAAACAGAGCTGAGGTTTGCTCACTTGCATGTTCTTGTCAAACACATGTTGTGTGTCCTGAAAGTGCAGTGTGAGAAATGAGTTTTAAAGGTTGTCTCAGAAATTTTGTCTGACACAGGACAGTGCACACTCGTGCTGCTCTGAGCTGGTTTAATTTGCCTTCAACACATGCAGTGCCAGAGCTGTTGAGGGAAACAGAAGTGCCTCATTTTTGTGTGATTACACGTCAAATACATTTTCACAGTAGGTGGCTTTACTTTTGGAGTGTCTTTGATCCTGTAGAACTTCTGTAGTTCCTGCAGAACTTCTCTCTTCAAACTAATTCAGGTTTCTCCTTCCATTTACAGTAATAGCAATAAAAAAATCTATTACAGCGTTTTGAACAGATAAGTTTCTGTCCAGGAGTTACTGAGAACTTCTCTTGTCTATCAACAGTGCTAGAACTTGACTGAGTAATTGGTTTCTATTCAGCAGTTTGTCAGTGTGCCCTGAGAGAGAACAATACCAAAGTCTCTGAGTATTGGCCTCTCACTGTGTGAGTGGGGTGGGGTTGTCATGTGCTAAGTGCCAGTAAGAGCTGCAGAGTGTTTAGTGTTTGATTAAATTTGCATATTTTCTGTTTTTTCAGGGTTATTGGGGCTGTGCCATTGGTAAGGCCAGGCAGGCTGCAAAGACAGAGATAGAAAAACTCCAGGTATGGTGTTTCAGTTTTGTTGTGCTGATTCAAGAAAAATATTCCTAGTTTCTTATGTTACCTTTTTGGATGCCCAAAATACATAAAATACAGGAGGAAGCAGGTGGAATATTTCGTTGTACATTTGCCACTAAGCAAAGGAAGTGAGTGAATATAAAAGTGTGAGTTTCTCAGAGTGAAAACCATAGAGCAGCATTGTGGTATATCTGTTTTTTCCTAAAGGTTTTAGATGATACTTGTGTTTAGCAAGTCTTCTTAAGGACAAACTAGTCTGGGCAGAGCACCAAGAGGTACTGAAGTGTGCCTTAAGCCGATTGAAATTATGTTAGAATCCTCAAAGACTTCCTGCATCCTCTTGTGTTTTAGTATCTGACTGACACCCTTGGAGTTGGAGACAGTTAACATGGGACAAAATCCTTCTCCTGGTAATTTTTGTTTGACACACTGATAGCATCTTATTTTGCTCTGCAGAAGGACATCACAGCTGTTCATGGAAAGCTTCAGAGTTCAGTTGTTACACTTTTCAGAACAGTCAGTTTATGGTGCTGTAGCATGACTGAAAGATCACAGGAAAAATTACAGTGTATTCTAGACTTTGTTCATTCCATTTTGAATCTGGTCAGATGCTTGAATCTCAGCACCTGGGAAATCAGTGTTGGTTCCCATGTGTGCACTCTGGCAGACAGACAGTGCTGTGTGTTGGGTGACACATAACCTACCCAGGAAATTGTCATTTTCTGTGCAGGGCTAAGATTTTCAAAAACTTGGGCTTTATTTATTGGCACATAATGGGAATTACTGGAACTTTACAGTAGAGACCAGAAGACAGGACATGGGCACAGTGGTGTGGCACTGCCTAAGTGTGGGATGTGTTTAGTGCCTTGTTTGCAGAGTCCTCAGTGTTTGCTGCTGTCACAGCAGTGTGAGGTGAGTCCACTCTCACATGCTGATGCTTTTGTTAACTGTGGACTGGGGCAGGTTTCCAGGTCAGAACTAAGGTTGACAAGATTAATTTAAAACCAAGATGGGAAAAAGACAGGAGTACAAAAGGTTCTGTCAGCTAAGGGTTGTTCCTGTGGGAAGCAAGAGGCAAGGAGATAGCCAAAACTTTCAGCTGCCTTAGAGGTACTGCAGAGCAGATCCTGTATCTGGGAGGGACACTGAAACCCTCGTGAGCTGAGGGTGCAGGAAGGGAACCATGTCCTGATCACATCTCTTGCGTTTACGTGAATGTCTGTTATCTTCAGCTGTGGGAAAACTTGTAGTTGTGTTGATTGCTTGGATCTCTTGATCTCCTGCAGTGCTTCTCGTGCAGCATTCATGTTTCTGATATATGGACACGATCCTAATTAACTCCCATGATAAAACTGTTACTGTTTAGCTTTATTGTCTGCAGAATTAACATAATTAGGAAAAGGATAATGGCAGAAACTAAACTGCCTTTGGTTTTCTCTGCTGTAAATACCCATGACAGCAGCAAACCTTTGGGGTGCCCCATTTGACTGCTGACTTGACATGCATCAGTACTCACTGTAATTGAGATGTGTGTGTGGCACAAGTGACAAGTGCTGTGTTAGGGATTGATGTCACCAGGGCAGGGGCAGTACCTCTGTCTGTTCAGGGAACATCTCCAGACAGGACTGATGGCACATCTGTCTCACCAGGCACAGGCATTTCTGCCCTGGCCTGTGGCTGCTGTGGGTGTGAGCTCTCCCCCAGCAAGGGCTGCTCACCAGTGTCTCAACAGCAGCTTCTGTGCTGTGGTTTGAAAACACTTTGAGAGTCAGAAGAGATGGTAAGCTGAATTAATAAAATATAGTAGAATGTGTGTTTCATAATTCAGAAGAGTTGACTGGAAAGGGATTTGACCTACAAAACAGAAGTTTATTAGATCATGGAAATTGTCACCAGACTTTGCTTTGATTAACTGTGAAACTGTCAAAAGGCTGTGACAGAACTGATAAATAGAAACTGAGATGCTGATACCTTGCTTGGGTTGTTAACTCTAACAATATGCTCCTCTTGGGGCATTACTTAAACATCCAAAAGTTTAACTTTACCTAGGAGGAATGTGAATGTCACATGTGAACGTGTGGTGCCTCCCCATGTTGTACATGTGGCTGTTCTATGCCAGTGATCACAAAGCATCCAAGAACAAGTCAAAGCTTTTGGGACGCCAAGGTCACCTGTGTAGCTTCTAAGCTTCCTGTTCATGAGTGCTTTAAACTGGGGAAGTTTCCAAGTAACAGCTTTTCATAGAATCAGCTGTAAAATTCCTCCCTGGAAGAATGACCTGCACAGAGCTGAAAGGTGCAGCATAGAGAATAAATGTGGTTCTAGTCTGTCACTTTTTACTGCTCTGAACATGAGGCTCATTAGGCACATGCAGAGCCACTCGTGTTTAGCCTTGTGGAAGTGGAAACGTTACGTTCTGCTCAGCTGTGTGTTCTGCCTGCAGATGAAGGAAATGACCTGCCGTGATGTCGTTAAAGAGGTTGCGAAAATGTAAGTCTCCAGCCTGTTTTCCCAACTCCACCAAACCCCGTCCTGGTGAGCTTGCTGTGCTTTCAGACTGAAGGTCTTCCTCTGAAATTGGCTATCAGGTGTTATTTCCACTAGATGAGCTCTCAGGCTGACTCTGGTCTTTTCTGCTGTTAATACTTTTTCCCTTCTTGTGAGGTGGGATATGCTGCTCAGTGCTGACAGATGTCAAAGGATCACCTGGTGATCTCTGCTGCTTTTAGTAGGGGCAGCTCGTAGCACTAGGGGAGTAACAGTTAAACAGGCTGACTCTAGTCACTCTTTTTTAAATATTTAATCGGGGGGGAAAATACTTGGTGTCCTGGTTCTGAAACCTGGGTAAAACTAAACTTTACTACACAGACTGACCAATGACCTGATGCTTCAGCCAGAAACAGCCCAGAAATGATGCTAAGGTCTTGCCCCCAGCCTTTGTTTGCCTCAGAAAAGGCTCAGGTGCTTGGGCAGCTTTAGTTGGAAATACTTGGTGTGGTGCTGAAGTTTTCCTTCCTTCCTTCCTCCAGCATCTCCAGGGCCTCTCTGTTGGCACTGCTGGGTGAGAGCTGCTGGTTTTCACCTTCTGATTATTAATGCTTCCTGAAACAAACTAATGAAAAGATCTTTCTCAACTGAAGCCACAGACTATTTTAAGTTCAAACCAATTTTTAAGTGAAATCAGTTTTGCTATGACAGTGTAACATTTCTATCCCACAGACTAAGCAGTGATTTTACTGCTCTGGGTGGTTCTGTGTATGCTGTAACATACTTTGAGTTCAATTCCAATTACCAAAAGCATCACAGTCCATATGGAAATCTCTGTACAGGTTTTAACTAGACTCCAGACACTGTGGTGTTGGGATTTGGTGTTAAGTGTGAACTGAAGTAAGACATAGAGGGGAAATGCAGGACACTCTGAGCTGTGCTCTACCCAGTCTGGCAGAGGCAGCAGTGATGCAGCAGCCTTGGTTCTGCAGGATTTGGATCTTGGTGTTTGTTCCAATTAGGGTAACTTGAGCATCTCAACCTGCACCTTAGCTGTAATGATTTCAGTTCTGTTAGATTGCAATTAAGCCTGGAAAATTCTCTGATGGTGCTTGGGAGGGAGGAAGCATGGGGAGAGCAATTAATCAGAATGGCACTTTAAGAGAAGAAATCTATGACTGGAAGAAAGTATATTTAGCCTATTGATCAGTCTGTTCTAATCTGTACTTTGTCTTGTTCCTTCCAGAATCTACATAGTTCATGATGAAGTAAAGGATAAAGCTTTTGAGCTGGAACTCAGCTGGGTTGGAGAAAGTAATGCATTTCTGTCCTTTCTATATATACTCCAGAGAATGTCTAACTTTTTGTAACTGAAGTAAAACATTGCTGCTTAAATGCATGCTCTGCATCAGGGTCTTTGTGTGAATTTACCTAACATGTACTCTTTCTATTGGCAGTAACCAATGGAAAACATGAAATTGTTCCCAAAGACATCAGGGAAGAAGCAGAAAAATATGCCAAGGTAAGGTCTGACTTGGGTGTTGTCTCAGTGCTTCACTTGACAAACTTGTGGTGACTGGAAATGTATCACTGCAACACACATCACTTCAGCCTTAGCTGTGTTATTCTGGAGGGACAATAGTCAAGGTTACAGTGAAATCCAGGGATAGTTCTTGCTTTCAAAATCTCTAACTCAGAAGCTTCCACAGGTGGTGTCATTCCCTTCAAAAGTAAGTGTGCCGATGGAACTGTCCTGC